GGGAATAAAATAATAGGCTATATATCTAGAGCTATATACTTAAATATATAGCTTAAGTAAAAAATATAGATTTATATTAAATAAAAAGTTTTAGCGCTACCTTTAGTATAGGCCTTAATATTAGTAGGGTATTTCTAATTAATAAAATCTCCTAATTTAGCCTTATTTTTTACTATTAAGTATTAGTATATAATATCTTATCTTATAATATGGCTTAACCTAGCTTTTTAAGTTTCTTTCTTTTCTCTTATATCTAATTAGGTAATAATTTAACTAGTTTAGCTCTAATATAGTCTAGATCCTAGCTTATAGTTATATTTAAGATTCCTAGATATTTATAACATATATCCTATATCTTACTAAATAATAGGGTAATAATCGAGAGATTTATTACCTATTATAGAGATTTAAGGCCTAGTATTATTAGGCCTTTTATTAATATATTAAATACTAGATAAAGATATATACTTAAGTTTAATTCTATTATTTTTATAATTTAGATTAATTATTACTAAGCCTTTATAATTTATTATATTTATTCTATTATTATAATATCTTATTTATTTATTATTCCCTATTATAAGAGCGGGCTTATTATAGTGTCTTTATTTTCTTTAATAACTTTATTTATTCTTTAAGATACCCGAAATTCTAGGACTTATATATAAATTATATACTTTTTAGAACTTAATAATAATAGTAAAGTTAGCTTAACTAAATCTCTTATTAATAATATTTTTCTTTATATAATACTTTTATATATTTAGGGAAAAAATAATAAAGAAATTACTTTTTAAGACTTAATAGAAAATATTAGTAAGAATAAGGCTAGCTATAGAAAAATCTAGTTCTATAGGAAATAAGCTATTAGAAATAGCCTTTAGTATATCTAAATAAATACTTATTATATTAATAAATCGAATTTTACTAAACTTATAAAAGCTCTTAATTCTATATTTTACTAGTACTATAACGCGGCTTAGTATTATATATACTTATTAGATATTTTAGTATATAGCTTAGCTTTTCGGAATAATAAATAGTTTACTTAAGGCTAGATTTTTTAAGAGCTACTTACTCTAAGATTAGTTAAGTTCTTTTCGGGAAAAAGTAAATTACTAGGTAATAAGAATTCCCTTAGCTAGTAAATCCGTGAGATAATAGGAATTCCTATTAATATTCTCTAAAGAAAATCTTTATTTTTTTTCTCTATTCTTATATGGCTTTTATAAGTAAAGAAATAAGAAACTAGGCACTAAGAAAATAAGGCATATTTTTTTATAAGTATCTTTAATATTTATATATTACTTATCTATAATAAGAGAAAGGCTAAGGCCTTTAAATAACTTTATTATAAAATTATTAGGCGGGATTCTTAGTAAAAAAAGTAGCTATAGGTCTTATAAGATAAAGACTAGTAAGTTAAACTAATCTCCAAATTTAGTACTACTAACTATTTAATAGGTTTAATACTAGTACTTTTATAGGCTAAGATGAGCCTAGAACTATTTTTAATCTTATTTTAGAAAATAGAAATACTAAGGATATTATTTGAGATAATCTTAATTCTAAATATATAAAATAAAACCCTAATAATTCTTTAAAATAATTCTTAAGAATTAGATTTTACCTATTATTAAAAATACCTAGATATCTTATTAAATTTAGTTAGTATATCTTAATAAATAATATAATATTATATAATAAGTAATTAAAAATTAATTAATACTATTTTAATTTTTATCTAGTAATTAGAGAATTTCTTTTTTATAATATATTAATATATAATAATATATAATTCTAGAATAAAAACATAATTAAGTAGATATAAAAGAGCCCTTAATAATACGTTATATTACTAGATTACGAGTAAAATTTCCAAATTAGTTATACTAAATTTTAATTAAAACTATAGAAAATATAAGATCCTAAAGTATTTATAGAAAAGAGGCTATTATTTATTTACTAACTAGTTCCCGAAAAGTATAAGAAAATATATAAGGGAACTCTATAATAAATATTAGCTTTTAACCTAAGATCTACTTAGTTAAGTATTTATAATACTAGAATAAATACTTTTTTTTAATCTAAACTAGGTAATAAGATTAGATATATAAAAATAAAATAGCTTAGTAAAGAATTATAAAGTAATATATACGAGATTATTAATATATATATTAGTAATTATTATACTTATAAAATTATCTAGCCTAAGCTAATACTAAAATTAGGAATTATTATAGAGAAAAACTTTAAGCTAAAGATTAAAGCTAAGATAGCTTTATTCTCGAAACTATATTATATAAGCTTCTTTATTCTATTACTAAATTATAGCTTATACTAATAACTTATTAGAATTATATCCTCTAATACCTATATTTCTAAAATTAGTCTATAAAACATAATATTAATATTTTCTAACTAGTTTATAAAGAAAGCTTTTACTAGTAAATTATAAACTTTAAATCCTAAAAAAAAAATAAACTATAATAATAATAATACTTCCCTAGATTTCCCTTAGACTAGATTATATATATATATATAATTCGCCTATTATATATTAAGATATAATTTGCCTATTATATATTGAGATATAAAGCCTTTAAATATATTATATTATTATAGGAAATACTTACTTAGTAATTTTAGTATTACTAAAACTATTAATAATTTATATACTTTAGTTAAAATAAACTCTTATAAAGTACTAGAGCTTTAGTAAGGAAATAACTAAATAATAAGCCTTAATATATATAGGCTTAGTATAACTATTATTAAGGCTTTAGGCAGATTTCTGAACCTAGTAAATAGGCCTGCTATATAATAGCTATAATATTATTATCTCTAGATTTTTATAAGTAATACTTCTATTATATTAATATTTACTAGTAGCCCTAAAAACTGTCTAATAATATATTAGATTATTTATATCCTTTTTCTTAACAAGCTTTCTCTAATAAAATAAATATAAATAAGATTAATAAGATTATTCCCGAAAATCCCTTAACTAACTTTATAAAAAGAAGTTATTTCTAGATAATATAAGTAACTAGATATTATATATATAAAGCCTACTAAGTCTAAAAACAAGTAATAAAAGAAAAGTTAAAACCTTAATATATTATTCTAGATTAAATATTATATAAGATCTTAATTTATAAAAGTATTAAATTAAATACTATTAAAGAGACAGAAATACTTAATATTAAAAAGTATTTGAGTTAAGGTATTAGGAATAAGAAGTATGAGAAAAGACCTATAGCTATAGCCCTAATTAGTAATATTTTAGAAAAAATAAGGAAATATAAATTTAAATATCTATAAAAGCTAAATAAACTTTTCTATTTCTTTTTTAATAATTAGAATACCTTAAATTATTAAGCTCTATATAAGAGTATTAAAAGATATAGAAATAAAAAAATTCGAGTTCCTAGTAATAGTTCTAGAATAATTTCTATATATAATAAGTTTTCTTATCTAATAGCTTTTCTATATTAATAGCTAAAAGAGTTAGGTATTACTAGTTATTACTAAAGCTAAATTTCTTAGGTTTCCTTATACTATATCCTAGATAGAAATAAAATAGATCTTATAGTATGATTTAATTTCCTTACTTTTATTATATTTAGATTTAATATATTTTTAGATATTATATTACTAAGTTATACTTATAGGTATTAGATTATATCTATAAAAAAGAAATAATAGATATAAAGTAATCTATAATAAAGATTATTATTAGAAAATTAATAATATTATAATATTAAGAAATAATATATTTAGTAAAATAATTATAAGTTATAATCCTAAGCTAAAGATTAGACTAATAACCCTAGATAAATCCAGGCTTTATATTTATCTAAAAGATAAATAATCTCTATAAATAATATTTTAAGTTACTTAATACTTTTCTTAATATATAGTATATTTAACTAAACTAATAATAGCCTCTAATTTCTTATATTTATAAAAATAGCTTTCGGGATTTTTAATACCTAAATTTTCTTTCTTCTAATTAATGCGCGTGTTTCCTAAATCCAGAGCTATTTTTAGACTTTTTATTAATTTTATAGCTTTAAGGTAATAATTAATATTAATTCAAAAATTAAATTCTAGTCTATAAACTAATTTCTTAAAGTATACTTATACTAAAGTAGTATTATAAGGAAATATACGAGTTTAATATTATAGCTTTTCTAGTATCTTAGCTAGGTACTAAAATTAACCTAGCTCTTATATTAGTAATTTATTAAAAATAAATTCTTATAGTATTAGAATTAGGCTAGATAAGTTCTTTAAAAAGCTAGATTTCTTTAGTAATTATAATCTTAACTTACTAATTCATATTATATTCGTTATTATATCTTTTCTAAATTAAGGTAATATTAGCCTTAGTACCTAAGTTTACTAATCTCATATAGCTGAGTTTACTAGTTATTTTTAAGAAATTAAGCTATAATTTTAGATTAGGTCCTTAGATAACTTTATTAAAATATCTAAGCTCTAGGGTATATTATAGCTATCTTAATATAATACTAAGAAAGTTCCCTAGTAATATCGGGATAACTAAGTATAGGGCTATAATTATCTAAGAGGCAAGAGCCTTATTATATATTTACTTTTTACTTAGGGGCCCTTTATAAGATATAAGACATATATAAATAGCATAATTATATTCTAATTAATTATTAATACTATCTTAAAGAATTTCTATAATACTTTAAAATAATAGCTTATTTAACTATAATATGTAATTAAAGTTTACTAAGTATAATTACTATTCTTCTCTATTTAGTACTCGTAATCTATTTACCTAATTTAGTAAAGGAACTTTTAATACCTTCTTAATAGTAATCTAGTATAAATTAATACTACCCGAGAAGTTATTAGCCCGCTTAGTAAATACTCTCATTTATACTTTCTTTATATAAAAATAATATACTTAATTTCATATTTTTACTATTTAAAGTATATCTTTTATTTTATTAAAGAAATATTTATTAAATTCCTTTATCTAGAATAAGAAAATATATTTTAAACTATTCTTTTATATATGAGCTTTAGTATCTTCTATCTCGTTATTTATATCTTTTATATATATGTTATAGAGGAACTTTTAAAAATAATAATACTTCTGGTAATTCTCCTTACTTTTTCCTTTCAAAATAATATTAATAAGTTCCTTTATAGCTTTTACCTTTACCTAACTAGTATTAGTAGCTAACCTAGAATTTTCTCTATAATATACTTAAATATTAGCCTCTACTACTTTTATAACGTAGTTATATCGAAAAGTTTCTCTCTATAAGTTACTTATCTAGTAATTCTCGAGACTTACTTATTTCCTTTTTAATTATAGTTTTACTCTATTACGTATAATAAGATTAAAATAGGCTATTAGATCTACGGGAAGCTTTATAATTACGCCTATACCCTTAAATACCTTTATAATTAAGTAATCTCTATCCTAGAAGTTAGCTATCTTCTTATAATACTTTACGCTTGTCTGGATTATGCCTAATATAGTCGGTATAGTATTACTATCTAGGTATAACTCTTGTATCTCTTTAGAAACCGGCCTGTGTTTCGTTTATGATACAATTAAGGACGATCTTATCATCAAATCATGCGAAGCTAGGCAATGAGTTAATGTTATCTAATCTGGCATATTAAGTGAGGTCTACTAAGATACCTCAAGGGTATGTCCACTAGCATTTGGGCTTAGCGTGCTATCGGTGGGTTTGACTGTACTCACTAGATGTATATAGGCCACAAGAGGGCAGGTTTGATCCGGGCATTCAGGCTGCGTATTCGCCTCGGGTAATAAGCTTAAGATAATGGAGCTTGCTGATCCCGTTACAGCCCCTAATGTGGTCGCTAACTCATTAATAAAGGCAGCAGGGTCTGCTTTTTCCTGAGTTGGGAACGTCTCCGGAACTGGCGAGACATGCTGCGGACTCTCCTCAGCAATAAAGGCTGAGTTCTCAACTGGTAGATGGCTGTCAACCAGAGCCATGTCATTATTCGGTTACAGGGAATGCTCTTCGAGTATAGCAGACTCTGAGGGTGACGGCATTTCCCCTAGACCGGAGGTGCTCCGGGATGCACTGTGGTCGGGATCGTCTGAGAGGTTAAGCGAGTCGATCTTCTCTGGAGAGAAATTCTGACGAGATCCGCCTCGACGTCTCTTCTTTTTTCTGCTCGAGCCATGTCTCGCTATTCCGTTATACCTGTCTGGTCGAGGACGTTTCTCGGGCCGTTGAGGAGGGCTCTGAGGCGGTGTGTTGGTATCAGGCGCGACTGTGACGGATAGGGTGTCTTCGAGTATGATAATAGGATTAGAGGGTGTATCTCCCTCGCGGCGAATCTCGACTCGATAGTAACGGACAAGAGACAAGTCAGTAGTCTGTTTATTCGGATTTCACAGGAGACTTACACGCCTGGAAGATACTATCGATCTGCTGGTCGGATGGTCCAGAGACTTCTTCGACAGTAGAACTGTCCAGAGAGACCTCGCAAAGTCAGTCCTGTTCATCTAACGACACCCAACAGCCCAAAAACACACGTTTGTAGCCGGTCATCTTGAAGCACTGCTGAACAGGCCACTAGCGCTGCGAGGATGTTACGGCGAGTTGAAGTGGGATATGCGTTGGTTGGACAAATTTCAAATATTTGGGATGGATGAGTCTGCGGCAGCGAATTCCCAAACAATGTTTGGGAACCCTCCGAATGCTGAGTCAGCGGAAGCGACCAATCACCAACCAGACTTCCCAAGACTCCCAAACACTGTTTGGGAATTCCACGACAACCACCTCCATGCGAACTACACACTCCCACAGTCAGGACACGAATGAGCCCCAGATTGCCGTGCCAGACATGAGCAGCAAACGCTTGAATAGTCGGGTCCATGACTCAGACGGCGTCAGGTCCTTCTTATCGCTCAACCGGAGCCTGCCAATCTCTATCGAACGTGGCGTCTTCCGCGGCGACGACGTTGGTCGCGGAGGTATTGCTTCCTTTCATTCGACGAGACCGTCTTGCCTATGTGGATCAGCCCAGTTGTGCTGACTATTTAACCATTGTTCTTGCTACGTCTTGTATCTAAATTAATGCGTAATGGGTGCTAGCTTGCGGCTCACACGAAGCCTTCGAAATTCAGTAACGCATTGGAATTCTAGAAAAACATATTGCTGTAGCAATTGCGCGGCTCAAGTTCTGGTTGTCAGTCCCGAGAAAAGAGACCATGCCACGCTGCTCTTGGGCCTCTCATTCACCACCAATGTTACATTACTCCTCCTCGTTTCCCTCCGTCCCAGATCGACGCAATCGGTGCTGCCCAGCAGGGGCGGATCAAGTAGGAGTGAGCCCGGAACAGACGAGCCCTCGCGGGGGACGATGCTAAAGGCGAGTGGATGCTGGAGAGAGAAAAGGCTACGTGCTGACGCCGCTTGTTGTACCTCGGATGAGAGGAAGCAGGTGCTCTGCTGTAGTGGTCTTGTTGAAGTTGAAACGCTATCGGTGAAGATGAACTCGTCGAGGTTTATAGCATCCTGTTGCCTATTACTCTAATCTGAGTACGTTCATTGCCCTCAATCCAACTTGGTACGTTCGAGTTCCGCCGTAACAATCTCGATTGAATCAATTAAAATAATATCATCTGCTCAAGCATTGTGAAATTCCAACATACCAAGCAGCACCCTCTTGCTTCCGCTTTCTGTAGATTCATAGCCAGCAGGCGCCTAGTCAAGCTCTCCATGCGCTCTTGATTTGGCAGCTGCTTCTTTGTCTTGCTGTATAGCCGCCATGTCTGAGTGGTCAGAGGATCCTTCCCATTGGGCTCCATGCTTGAGATATCGTCCTTCCATGTAGAAGAGACGCTCTCGCGCCTTCCACCCCCAAAGAAACCCAGCTTGGCCTCTGTGCCAGTGCTAATCCATCCGGAATGGGCGTGCTAATTACGACTTACGAGAAGAACCCACTTGCTACTGCTGTCGCATATTCGCCGGTCTCCCGAAGGAAATTGAAATCCGTGCTCTGTTGTGTCCCATTATTGTTTTCTTGTTCGAGTGAATCATCCACTCTCGAGGCGAGACAGGTTAGAAGTCGCCTAGGTAAATCATTGATATGGCGAAGTAGATGCAGACTGGTGTAGCATAACAGAAAAGGAAGAGAGTGGGAATCGATTTGACCCTGAGAATCGTCTCTCGAGGTCGTTTGTCGACCAGCGGGTCGTCTATTGTGGAGGTGGATGCCGTAGAGTAGAGCAGAAGGCCAGATTCGGAATGCGAGCGGAAATCGGACGATGTCGACGAGGAGGTTGTGGGAGCAGCATGGCTGCTGTCGACGAGGAGATTGTGGCACCAGGGTAAGAATCAGACTGTGGAGCAGAATCAGACGTTATAGACGAGGGGTAGATTGTGGAGCCAGAGGTGAAGGTCAGGTTCTGAACCTGATCCTCAGCCTCTGGCATAGCAAAGGCTGGAATTGAAGCCAGCGGAGGGAGTTGAATTGCAAACTACAGCCAAAAAGATCGCCAAGCCAGAATGGAGCCAAAATCGAGCCAAAATCTGGTCCAAAACAAGCACGAGCCAAAGTTGACCAGTGTGTCTGATTGGTCAATCCAAAACCAGCTGCCACCTTTTTCGGTTTCGGATAAACGAGAGAACACTGTGATCACGTGACTTCGCCCAACTTCACAACTCCAACTCCGCTCCGCGGGAACAAACGCTTCAAATTATATAGCAAAACCACTAGCTAATGGGATGCCGATATCGCCATTAGATAACCTGAACTCAGAGGTATCGTTAGATACCGAATAATCGCTATAACACCTATTAAAATTCGATAGTGAGTATTCAACCTTCAAAAACATCTCTGATCTACGACCTGGCTCGCTAGCGATGCGTCGAATCTTACCGATCAAAGCGTGCCTGACTTGGGACTAACAGCAGATATGAGCGAGATCACCCAATATCTACTTGCCGAAGAGCAGACAAAGTCGAGAAAAGGAGTCATAGTGACGAAGGATGCGATAAACAGTATTAATACCACAATTACAACCAGAGTTATCCTGTCTCCTCTCCGGACAGAGCGGCACCATGGCCCACACGTATACTGTACTAAGCCTCCTCCGACTATAGAATTAATCCCCAGCGAACTCCTCTAGTTTCATAAAGATGAGAAGAGAAGTTCATTAATTTAATAGACTCGATCATCGATCATAACGTAACGCAACGCAAAGAACAAGCCGAGCCAACGCACACTTTATATTTCTACACACTACTCTCACCGACACAGCTCAAGCATAGTGACTGGGTATATATAAATAACAAGATGGCAGGAGGCGGGAGGCAGGAGTCTTCGAAGGGATTTGCAGAAGACTGGGGCGAATGGGCTGGAACGCAATGCTGCAGGTCGCAATCCAAACCTACAATATCCTCTACAGAAGCGAGTCTGGCATATGGCCTCCAAGCCTGTACTCTAGTTGCATCCACCATGCTTGGCATCTGGCAAATCTGCGGAGGGAAAGGTGAATATGAGGACGGCAGCGAACTTCAAGACTTGGAGGGGAGACGGAGTAAGGTGATTACTGAGTTACGTCAGGTTACGAATTCAGGTAGTAGCAAGAGAGCTGCAATAAAACAAGCCCTCGAGCAGTGGGACGTAAAAGAGAAGGTCACGGAGCGTATTGAGAGGTTCCGTTAGTACAATGACCATGGCATCATTGATATCATCATGCACGTGTATTGCACAGCTTTCCTGCCTCTACAATAAACAATGCTCATCACTCTTCGCCTCGCCCATGCAATTGCCTATTTCTCCTTTCCTAGATGCCTCGTTGCCCCGTTGAACGCAGTACAGATGCCTCACCTGTACAATAGAACAGACTGCATCTCCGAAGTGGCTCGGGCTGACTTCAGGACCACGACAGGTCGAGCACGAAAGCAAATTTATCGGAGTCATTAACGGCAATCTATAGAAGTTTAGTAATGTCTTCGCCATTTTCAATATCACCAACCTGCAGAAGAAATCGAATACCAGCCCAAGGAAGTGCAGCATGAACCGGATCATACTGAACAGCTGCGTCCCCGACTTGTTTGAAAAGATCAATCCACTTGACGATCTTGCTAAATAAATCCACGAAAATGACAGTCTCTCCACTCTTTCTCGTATATCGCCATCTTTTTTTGATACACTCCTGCTTTGACTGCTCGGTAACTTGGAGTACACAAGACAAGATGTTGAGCTTGTCGGGACAGCTAAAGTCAATGTTATTTCTGTCTTCGTCGCTCATCTGGGCTGCTGCAGTTGCCCAAAGGTCAATGCTTCAGCAGAAAGCGCAAAAGTCAGCACAGCCTCGTGGCAAAAGGAAGATGAGATATCCTCACGTAGTCGGCCGTGTGACTTATGCTGTTGTCATGATGTCAACTGTTGATATCCAGGGATAAGAGATTCTTGTCAGTTGTAGAGAGTGAAAGAAAGCGTTGCCTTCGATATTTGGTGATGTGGCGCAAGTTCAGCTGAGAGGCTTCGGTACTCGTAGGAAGTATTCACGGGCCAACCGCCCAGACCACTCAACCCGCAAAAATTTATTTCACCACAACAACGGCATAAAAGAAAACTTTTGAGTAGATATTCGTGATCAGCGAGCTTGGGATACCAATCCTATAGATTTTTTGGAGTTTTCTGAGTACTTTTTATCTCAGTACTCCGGTTTGCCCCCCGGGTTTAGCGACCGCTGATGTCGCCACCGAATCGCCCGTATACAATATCGCGGATCTTCTGATCTGTAGTGTACAAGACTGATCAGTGTCGGATCACCCGTAACGCTAAGCACGACACGTAATTCTTCATGATACGTGGTATGCCAGTTGCGTTGTGGTAGGTGATTGATGATTTTTTTTAGAAAGGGGGATGAAGCCCAGAGGGCTTCATATCCCAATCCAAGTGGGTCTAGCTACATGCGGCTGATTGCGGGGCAGTCAGTCGAATATCACATGACTGATATTCCAACACCCTCCATCCTGTCCTTCCTCCACACAACTACCGACTCGAATGCTGGCTGACTTGATTGCTGGCTGACTTCTTATTTTCTCTCGTTCACACCCTTAGGTTTTGCTGATGTCGAGCGCCAGGTTAAACCTCAGAACCGTTGCACGTGACCTGCCAAGCTCTTCGTGAAGAGCTTTGCTGGCTTCAATTGAAGGTTGAATGAAGAGTTATATTATTAGATTCAAGCTTCACGAAGACTCCTTAAATTACTCTTCGAGACGTGATCAAGCACTGGGAAGAGGGGAGGACGAGGGGGGAGATACGGTAACATCTTTTTGAATTACTCGTAGCGGAAGTTCGACGCAAAGGCTTGCAGGCAACAGGTTTGGGGCCGACAGGTTTGCGGGCGACAGGTTTGGGGCCGACAGGTTTGGGGGACAGGTTTCGTAGCCAATCGGCCATCCTGCCTCAAAAAAATATTGCGTCAACCCAACATCCTCAATCATTCAACCTGCAGACAGGTCGAGACCTATTATCATGAACTCGCCTTCCCATAAACACAACAGGTTGCCAGCCGAAGGTATAGGTCAGGTATAATCGCGTCTAGTCTTCTCTCTTCCAGCTTCCTGACATACTTACTGATCTAGGCCGTTGATGGATTCGTCAAATGGCTAGAGAGCGAGCAGAGCGCTATTTCTCTCTACTTTGCCCGCCACCCTTCTATCTGCCGTTCGTTCTTAGAAGCAGTGCAACGAGTTACCAGCCGCGAATCCTTAGTAACTCCGGTTGCAACTCCTGTGGAGAACGCTCTGGATGACGAGCCTACGGCATCCGATTCCAAGGAGGTTGGTGATCGGACAGATTCGATAACCCGCGACGTTCTGCAGGTGTTGATAATTCGCCTCTCCTAACGGACAGAAGACTCCATGCTTTCAAAAACATTATCCACAAACAAACCCTCTTTCTGCAGAACGTTCCTCATCTATTCCAAAATTAATCAACATTCAACGCGGCCGATTGCACATCAAGACCACGCCCAACATGCAGAACCCCAGGAGATTTCGCCCCCTTCTCTACTAAGCGCCCAGATCAGGAAGTGCAGCCTGTCTGCTCCCAGACTGCCGAGAGTCTTGCAACTCAACTTCCGTCGTGGTGGCAGAGGGGTTGTTGGATGAGCTGCTTGTGGCTCCATTTTGTGCAGTATTGGAGACGGTACTCGGAGTCGTGTTCGGGGTGGTATTCGAGGCGGCTGCGTTCCTGTTCGGATCCCCAGTAAACCGAATGCTGACTCGATTTGTTTCGTCGTTATAGAAAATGTGCGGAGTTACGACACTCTCTTCACGCAGAACCGGCACCCCGGTCTTCTCTTTATACCAGTTCGTCTCGGTCGACTCTATCTCGCTTTTGCCGGCTCTGTATCGAGACGAAGCCTCCTCATCCATAATGCGAAATAAATCCGTCGCTCTCAGTGCCTTCGGGCGCAGCGCGAACCTCCCTTCTTTACCTTGGCCAACCCTCTTTAAAAGGGTCAACAAGCCAACCAGCACCCACAACACAACGCAAATTACAGGAGCCAGGATTAAGAGGTCCAGTCGGACACTGACAACATCTCCAGTCTTGATCACGAAGTCAGCTGCACCAGGCTTTGGGTTTCCCTTGTCGTCGAGCAAGAAATTTTCGAAGTCGCCACGCTGCATCAACGTCACGTCGCGGAGGACTTCTTTTGAAGCAAGATAGCCCGCTAAGACCAGACGTGTCACTTCATCCTGCATCTTTGCAGACGCGGCGTCGATCATGGTGCCGCGAACGGATCCAACAAAGCTCCTTAGTGCAGAAACGCCAGCTGCAAGTCCGATTGATACAATCATTGGGTTCGCAAATTGAGTTGTAAAGATATCCCGTAGTCCTTCGGAAATATTTTGGCGATCCGCGCGGTGGTTCTCGAATAGTCGGCTGCTGCACGCTCCTCTGAAGCAGAACTCTGTGTTTTGCCAACAGGAAAGGGCGGGGCGTCCCGGTTTGACGCGGTAAGGCGCCGTGATGGTTACCTCTTTGGATAAGTTTGAGTTCAAGCTATCGATACGTTCGGTGAAATACCATGGATCCGTGGTCGAGGAATAAGATTGGACGTTGGCGGATTTGATGATCAGGGCGTAGGTTTGGTTGGAGCTATAGCCTTCAAGGCTCTGGGGTTGTGTGATCGCTGCCAGTTCCAGATGTCCTCGCACAGGCCACATAGGCCCATCAACAGGGACCGCTGAAGCTGTGTCGTCCCAGGGGTAGTACACCTCCATTGATCCCGGCCATGAGCCCTCAACATCCAGGGGATGTAGCCAGTCATATGTGGTCTCGCACCTGCCCTTCACGTTGTGCACCAGGCCCCGATGTGTTTGCAGACCGAAGTCTGCCGCTGTGATTGTATAGCTATAGTCCATGCTGTATTTCGGATGCGTTTCGTTGCTGTCGGGAAGCTGCCTCGGTGCTCCAATACTGACGGATTGGCGACGAGTGTTGTCATCAACCGATTCTGCACTTCCTAGAGCTCGCAAAACGGATGGAGCACCTGCGGCTTGGTACCTCAAGGCTGTAGCAAGATCACCCTGGAATAATTCTATGTTTGGTAGGAATACGGAGGCAGGGTGAACAGGTGCGGCTTGTCCGATTTGAAGGCTGTCCGTGTAAAAGATACCTGCAACAATACCACCCACTGCTAGAAGGAAGGCTGTGAGGAGTAGCAACATACCCAGCCAGAAGTCATTTCCCGTAGCGGTTGGCTTCCCCCTCTGGCTGGTGTTTGCCTTCTTGTGCACGTCTTGCCTCTCCCCGAGCACGTTCCATACGTAGGAAGTCATGAGATACACTGCGGACCACGGATCATGGGCGTTCCAAAACGCAATAAGACCGATGAATCGAATCTGACGGTCACGGAGTGGGAACAGCAAGAATACAACGTTCGACGCTAGCTGCCAAATGCCACTGATCGCAAATATAATAATGATTTGATAACCAGCGATAAGGAGACCATACTGGGACCTCTTGATAGCGGTCGCTGACAGGCCGGTAACTGGCTCTGTGAAGCGGGTATTCAGGATGTAGGCGTTAGAGGGGAGATTTGTATAGACGTCCATGATGATTATCGTTTTTTCGAATCAAGCAACAAGATACAGATGAAGATCTCGGGGTACTGATCGTGACCGAAATCTAACCTCGAACTATAGAAGGTCGAGTAGTACGGGATGAAGCATATTAGTGCCGCAACTGGGACGCCAACAGCCCTACCAAGTCATGAGTCCCTCCTTCTGGATAGAAAAACCTGACTAGCATATGCGGGCAGAAGCAAATTTCAAGGTGGTTGTTTTCTGTTAATCCTGACTGGTTGGATATAATCCATCTCAGCCTTACTGATGGGGATATTCCGTTTCTCTGTGCCTGAAGCCAAGGCGGCTCGAAGCGAAAGTACTTCTACCTGTTACGCTGCCCGATGGAGTGCAGCAATGGGGCATAGTTGTGGGCCAATTCGGCGACCTATACTCTTGGCATCGTTCTGTGGAAATGACACGAGGACAACGGGCTCCTCGAAAGAAATTTCATCAGCTCAAGCTGAGCGTACTCTAACTCCACTAAGAAAGCACCCCCACCAAGGTTCAAGCCAGGAAGGCTGAGATTCTGGAACTTCTTAGCAATTCAGAATAATAAAACGTTATCATCATTTCGAATTCCGGCTCCGCTACATGGCATTAGTCGCTTCAGCCGTTGAGGCATTCACAAAAGTTGTGTGAAGGACTTATAAAGAACATCTTTTATGCTACGGCCAGGAGTGCTCGAGAAGGGCGCTGAGCCGGACTCGAAGTTTAGGTATGGTCGGACGCCGCTGTCGTGGACTGTGACTGACAGTGTGAAAGCGGACAGAATGTAAGGACATCCTAAAGCATGTTAGCGTTGGCGTGACCATAACGATTCAGATAACAGAGGGAAAAGGAAAGAGGGAGTGGGAAAATCCGAGAGTTTTGAGAAAAAGTAATGTTACTCGTGGAGGTTATGCATCATTCATCTGCTGATCTGCAGATCAACTTTGTACTGTAGTTCGCAGCTGCACAGCCCTTTGTCGCATTGGCTAATCGCCTCGTGGGGGCATGTGCTTGGGTGCTCCTTCAATGCAGCATGCAGGTTGTGGCGGCTTGAGGGAATCTGTCATGCCGCTAGGGCTGGCTATTATGAGACATAACCTGAACGCATGCTTGCGGCTTGGCATATGAGGGGAGCTGCGCCTCGAGCTCACACTCGTCAGCCTTCAAAGTCATAATTTTTGCCGACCGCCTGACTTCCTTCAGAATTGCGGGAGGAAGAAATAGCTTTGTCTTAGAAACACTTCCTTTTGCATTCAGAGGTGGATATGAGCATACTGGGCTCCGCGGAGGCAGCTTCTGTGTGGGCTGCAGGATTTCCGTGCAGGCAGCCTTCCTGTGCCTCCCAACTCGCTCAGCCCAATCTCCCGACAGGGGCATGGAGGAGGCGATTTGGACGAGAGAGAAGTTCAGAACATTGTTGGGAAGGTTTTCCCCTGTGCCCCCCCACCCCCTTTTTTTTTGGCGGACCGCCATGTCTTATAATCTCAAAGGCCTCTAGAATTACGGCCGTAATCATCAGGTTTGTCATGAAACATATCCTTTCTCCTCAAGTACGCTCAATTGTGTTCGGAGGCGGTCGAAGAGGACACCAATAAATACAGCGCATTCTTCTACTATAAATACTTCATATCCCCGAAACAAAGCGATGTGCTATGCTACTTAACAACTCGACACAATTGAAAATATGGACATCTCCCTAGTTCCCTCCTTCTCTCCAGCAGTACTAGCTATGAAGGTCCAGGCAACCATGTCCCCTGATGGCGACATTCTCCTCCGGCAACTTGCCGGCTGCTCTCTGCTAGAGTCGCCGTGCGGCCGTAGTTGTATTCCATCCTTATACTTGTGCTGCGACAACATCGGGCACTTTTGTATCCCAGGCAATAAATGTGTTGGAGACGGCACAAGATGGAGCAACGGTTGGATTTGTTTCAATATTGGCAAAATCGGTCCTGCTTCGCTTTGGTGATATTTGATGGAGTCGATACTCACATGAGACATACCTTGCCCGATTCCCGAACAATCGGCTTGAAAAAGCTTCATAGCGTCAGTAGAAGAAACTTCCAAGCTGAATTTCCTGCCGTCCCCGAATTCTTTAGAATAGCTTGTTGTTGATGGTGGATTACATCTTTAGCATCCCGGCTCGATTGAATCTAATGAAGAGTGTATTTTGCTATTCCCCAGACAGCTGCTCCGGCAAATCCGACCAGTACTGTTATTGCTGCGAGGAGAAAGCCAGAATATCGTGTCGTAAGTGCTATTGTAGCTCCGAATACGGTACCACGTGGGTGGTAAATCCAAGGGCCTGTGTGAATATGACTAGAATTCATGCTGTTTGTTAAAGAACATTAATTCAGTAGACTTAAGAGACTGCCGATGTGAAAAGAAGGGGTGGGTCATTTCTGGGGTTCAAAGACAAGTGTCCGGGAGCATAGAAAGACAGAGCAATTAAATCCATCGTGTTTGAGGCAGCCTAAGTATGCTAAGAGACAGGTTTCAGTGATGAAATGACTCTTTACGGGGATCTCTTATCGGAGAGGTCTTAAAATGTGAATCTGGTGCACATTTAAAGGAGTAAGAGAGAGTTTGATGTTTTCTTTTGCGTAGACGTGTGAACGCAAGGAGCCAGAGTACAAATGATTTGTATCTTTACTAGAGACAGCCAAGAGATCCAAAGACATTTACCTCGAAGGCTGATGAAATTGATTCCGAAATCCGACACTTTTAATATTATAGAGTAAGACAAACTGTGGGTTGTACTAGAAAGTGATTGTATAAGGGTACTTTGTCTTATTACCCCACTATACCTAAGACAAAGTGCCTTGGCATTACGAGAATACTCAGGTACTTTTACGTGATCTAAAAAACATTATTTCCTTTTTCGAAGTTAATCGTAGACACTGTTTAAGACCACGTGGGGTGGGGGGGGATTTAACAAATTGGTTATAGTAATCCCAAGCGCTCTATTACATTTATTTGGAACAGCAGTCCCCTATTACATCTCCCTACATCAAAGCGATAAAATTCCAACTTTCTTAGTATGCTCCCTAATCTCCAGTCACGCCTACTCCCATCTATCAGCACAGTAGTACTCCTCGGAGCTGTAGCTATTAAAGCCGCTCATGATGGCATCCCTGTCCCCACACATGCATTAGAAGCGCGAACAGTTCTCGAGAATCGCCAACTCACATGCCTTATTAGCGGCTGGTTTCTCTGTCCTAGTACCTTAACATTCAACTCTACTTATAAATTACATATCTAATTAAGACCTAGACCGCATTTTCTGCTGCCAGCCTACCGACACCTGCTACATCACTAGCTACGGCATCCCATGCTGCTGTTTCGTAGGGGAAGTCTGCGATCATGACGCGACTGCATGTGTGACTCTGATTGCGCCGACGAGAACTTCTATCTCTACTTCTACCTCGCTGCGAACCACGTCTGCTGCTTATGTCCCGACTATGACCTCTTCCGCTTCTGCTTCTCTGCCAACAACTGCGACTTATCGACCAACGACTACGGTTTACGTACCTACTACGGCTGTTTATGTCCCAACTTCTTCTTCTACTTCTGCTTCTGTGCCGACTATGACGGTTAAGTCGAGTAATAGTTTGGGGAGGGTTATACCAGGTCGGGGGATCTTTGCCCTTGTTCTTGCTGCTTTAGTAGTGTTTTAAGGGGGGAGGTAGGATGTTATAAACAGGGGAATGCGATAGGCGTCAGGAGAGGCAGCTAGCCTTAATTGCGAGTGTGACGCGGTGGAGGATCAATTTAGACTATTAGCGGAGACTTTAGCCTGCGCTTTCACTTAAATGCCTCCTTCCCGATCCTTATCCCCACGATCACCAACCGCGATCCCAGATCGAGGCCCGGGCCCGATATAAAAAGAAAGGTTTCTTCACAGGCGCGACTGTCTCGTCATCTTCGGAGCAGACTCTGCTGCAGAGTCGTCTTGAGCAGTATGCCACAAAACTTATAAACACATATATTGTCAACTCAGTATCGGAATCTCTGGGAAAGCTGCTGGAGTCCGTAAAGGTCTTACGCCTGATTGATTCGAGTTCGGCTCTAGAACTACTGTCCCACTGCGCACTAGATCTTCATCGGCTTGACTTGTGCCGCATAGTGACCGAATACAATGCCCTGGAGGATTTTCTGGAAACGAATAAGAGATCCATTTGCTCTGTTGGCTTTCATGATGTTAAAACCTGCGGCCCGGGCCAGCTGGAGGGCAACCTTTCCGAACTGTCCTCCAGTATGCTTTGCAAAATGCTAAAAGTGCCACTGTCTACACCATGTCAAGCAGCTGACTGCGTGTGTCGTTCTTCTTGGGAAAGGGGATGGAGGCTGCTACTGCATAATGACGGGGGGACGGAGTAAGGTGACTGCTGAGTTACGTCAGGCTACGAATTCAGATAGTCGCAAGACGCTTTCCTTGGTCTTCTATCAGTTTGATGGCTGCGGCATCTGTTCCCGTGGTAAGGACTACAGGTGGAGCTCTTCCTAATTGTATTAACCACGGAGGATGTGGGATATCCAGGCAGATACTTCGCATCATTGTAACAGTGTGGAATATTTCTGGTTCCGGCGGTAACCAACCTCGTGACACTAGGACGAATTCCCAAACACTGTTTGGGAATCGTCACTTCTGCTGACTTAGCACTTCCCAAACATATGAAATGACTCGTACGTGAGCAGACTAACAGCAACGGCAGAAAAAGCCCTGCAATTTTAGCCTCTGTAAAGACATTGAAGTCAGCCAGCAATCACGTCAGCCAGCAGCCGATTCGCCAGTGGTGGACTGTTATCTCTACCGAGAACATGCACTACAAAGAGTACATCGAGATACAGATGGAAAAGCACTTTAAGAGGGAGGAGGACTATGAAGACTATATAGCGCCGTCTATATGAGCCATAGTTTGGTATATATAATCAAACAAGATCATCCTCTCAAAGTTGATGGCATTACCAACATTGTCCAAACGATCGTAATTGTGGACTATTCATCTTCAGATGGTTCCATCCGAATATTGACTCCCGGCTCACTACCCACAATTATTGGGCAGGAGCATCATTCTAATGGCAATGACCACCCAATCTCCCATTAAGCGAGGTATGCAGAGTCACGAGACCAGATTGAGATCACGTGAATACATCAACGCTTATACATGAAAATGGTTGGCACAGTTAGTGCCATGAACCCATTGGTGCCATGACCTCACTAGTGCCATAAACCCAATGGTGCCATGACCTCACTGGTGCCATGAACCCACTGGTGCCATGAACTCACTGGTGCCATAAACTCATTGGTGCCATGAACCCACTGGTGCCATGAACTCATTGGTGCCATGAACCCATTGGTGCCATAAACCCAATGGTGCCAAGAGACTATTGGTACCATAAAATTACGTGCAAACAAGGTGTTAGTACAACAGAACCAATACTACGAAGTAGTTGGCGCAAACTTAAAAACAGTCTTCCATTCTCACGCAGCTGCTGGGGCCCCGCTAATTTGGTCTCGCCCTGAAGAACGTTGCTCGGAACAAGCATGTAACCGAGAAAGGTCAGAAAAGGGAAGAAAAGACGGGGCAAACGCAAGCTCTTTGACTATGCGCGTATATCATTAAACTACTAGGAAACGGTCCCGTGGATAGTCGCTGCGTGATTCTGGAGATGCTGCTTGTGTTGCAGCCCCATTCGACAGACCTTGCACTTGAGCTGATCCCCTTCTTTGATGTGGGCCAGATGCTTCCGCTTGAAGTGCTTCGTCAAGTCTCCTGGACTGGCAAACTTGTAAGTGCGCTTTTCAAACGGCAAGCTCTGCTCCCCTAGACAGAGGAAGCAGGTAGTGGTCCTCTTCTCGGTAAATACCAATAATATAGCGTCACTTAACGCTTGCTTCTCGGCCTCGGCGGCTGCTAGCTACGGGTTAGTCTCCTTTGACGGTATCGGACTCGCTCGTCGCGTCGACGACCTCTTGCATGGTTGGGCAGCGGCTCCCCCCTCCTGGAAGTGGCAGTAGGCGGCGACTACATCGATAGCCGCATTGCGGCGGCGAAACTCTTCTTCGATGGTCGTTCCCGGGAGCGTCATTATCGTCTCGGCCAAGCGCTTCTGGAGCGGGGGCATCTTATTGATCTGGGCCAGGGTAGTCTTCACATCCTAGCTGAGCTTGAGCCCAGAGAGCTGCCGCTCGATCTCGTCGACCGGGTGTTCCAGATCCCAGCGCTCTTGAACGTGCTTGAGGAGCGCAGCTCTCAGCCGCTACCGGGTATTAAAGATCGTACGGCCGATGATCCGGTACCCGGGCTGCTGGGTCGCCCTGCCCTGGAAGCGGCGCTTCCACTTCTCCCGCTCCGTAACGAGGCGGCGGACGACGGGATCCTGATTAACGGACAGGGATTCCTCGAGCGTGAGTTCTTGCGGCCGGTCAGGATTGATCCAGCGAGTTATCCGATAGGCCGCCCGCATCAGGTCGCGCTGAGCCTCGTAGCCGGAGACGATAGCTCGTATATCAGCGGTAACCGTCCGCCGGAGGTAGTGCCTGATAAAGGTCTCGATCTTGGCGTATTACATTATCATATTCTGGAGCGTATCGCTTACGTCACCTATTATCTGCGGTTAGCATACTATGCTGCGGGGAGGGGCGGGGCTGCGAGAAGGGGGTTACAGGGTACGTACCGCTCTGGTTAAAGGCATTGCCTGCACCGTACCAGAGGAAGTACGGAAGCGTAGGCAGCAAGATCCCAGTGACCACGCCGAGCCGCTTGATCCACTTCAAGAGAGTCGTATATAGCAATTACTAGTCGGGCGAGATCTCCCACCCGTAGGGCGTCCTGATAGACTTGCGGAAGACGGGGATATTCGCTAGCTCCGGCTTCAGATATAAGGGCAGCTACTTATAGCCAAGCGGGATTACCAGCTCGCTGATTCTCTCGGCCAATGTAAGACTCGGGGCCAAGAACACATTATCGGCAAAGATGAGGCCCAGGAGGGCGACATGCGGACTAAGGACCAGGAACGGATTAAAGATGATCTCAGGGAGCAGAAACGTATTTCTAGCTTCCACGTGAGCCGCACGTCTCGCTAGAGTAGAAGAAAGGGGGGGAGGGAGGAAAGGCCTAGAGTAATACTTATGCATCTTTTATGCCGAGATACTTCTTTGTAAACTCGTACGTGAACTTGATCAGGAGCCGATAGGGCCCGCCATTCGGGTCCCGGAGCAAGGTCACAATAATATCGCCGTAGCGGAGGTTCAAGAGTACTAAAGGTCGGTTTACGGAGAATATACCTAGCTAGCCATAGAGGCTGATCTCGATACGGTGCCGGCCGTAGGGGTACCTCTGCTTCGTTATCGTGAGGTTAGTCTACAGGAGTCCCGCGAGATCCTCGATATATATTGCTATGTTATTGCGCTTCTTCGTCAATAGGCGGTACTTCTTGGCCAGCTTCCTGAGGACCTGTAATAAAGACGTGTATTAGCCTCTCACCTACGATAATTCGGACTGAGGAGGAGCGCTACTCACCCGATGCATGTGACGGTTCATCTTCCCCTTGATCTTCTCCCCAGTCGCCCGTTCGTGCACGAGCCGGAAAACCTTCCAGTATGTCCCGAGCATGCTGGCCGACCCGATACCAGCAAGCCTTCTCCCACCCTTCCCCTAGCATTAATTTAATATCCATTCAAAGAAGGCCTTGAGGGTGCGGCGAGAGATAGCCTGTATTATCCGGGCAGGATCCTTTCGTATATACTTGTAGTACCTGTAAAGAAAGTCAGATTAGTAATTTAATAGTAGAAGGCGGCAGGCAAGAAGGGAATAGGGTATACACTAATAGAACTATCCCTTGATCATATTGAGGAGGAGGAGACTACCATTACTATAGTCCTTATCTTTATCCTCAGATTCGTCGGAGTTATCCTCTTGAGCGAGGTAATAGTCTGGGGGGTAGGCGTTCTCCTCGCCCGCGATCCACGCCAGATCTGCCTTATTATCTCCGCCAGTATCGGTATTAACGTCCATTGGCAAGTTATGAGCATTATCCGAGTGAGTAAGCCACTCCAGATCTAGCAGGTCTGCCTTATCGTCTCCGTTAATATTAGTATCGACGTCCATCGGCTCGGTCTCGGCGTCGGTCTCCTCTTACTCATTACCTGTATCAAAGCAGCTCTTAATATCTGATCTATCATAGTCAGAGGAGAAGGAGAAGCTTGGTATTGGCTATTAGCGACGACGCATATTGACTAGATTAACTAAAGGAGATAACGGCGGTAATAATTAAAAGTAAAGAAGTAAGGCCGAAGATGTGAAGAAGGAGCCTGCTGCCTAAGTAATGGCAGCGAGCGAGAGGGGGAGGAGAGGGGTTGAGCGAGGGGCAGTAATAGTTAAGTATGAGAGGTTTTGAGGAAAGAAGATAGAGAAGGGAGGGAGGATAAACGAAGATATAGGATGGCCGCTATCCTAGGCCACGAGAGGATAGTAATAGAGGGGAGCCGTTTTCTGCTCCCCTCTATCCCAAAGCATTAAACGAGAATTAGAGAAGCGGTTCTGGATAATAACTTTGACTTACTCGCTTATTTTTGGTATTCCTATAGTAGTCGGTCGGCAAGGGTTTGTATAGTCGCGCCGCCTTGGCTACTAGGTATGCGAGTAGTAAAGCGGTGCAAGATTTTGGCAAGTTAGCTATAGAAAGCAGTGACTAAACCGGCCGAAAATAGCAGCTAATTTGCCATCTAGTTATTAAATAAAGTAAAATAAGAACTAAGTCTGGCTTAATTTTAGAAAAAGCTATCTTGATTTCCTTACTATATAAAACCAGATAATATCTAATATAATAGCCAAACTTATTATAGTTATAGTATTTAATAATTAAGAAATTCTTAGTCTTTATAGAATATTACTTATACTTATAAGGGAATATATACTTAATAAAAGTAATTAATATAGGTTTCTTAGGCTCCTTTTTAGAAATATATAAGAATATAGTATTAGAAGTAAACTTGGCTAGAATAGCTCTTGCCTTTTTATATTCTTTAGTCTTTTTATATATAGCCTTAATTTACTAATTATTAGTAATATAATACTAAATAAAATAAGTAGTATTAATAAAAGAATTATTATAGTATATATATACTAATTTCTAAAGCTTTAGTAAGAGCTTCTTATTTAGTTTATATTTAATATCTTAAAGACTAATATTACTTTTTATAAATAGTTATAAGAAGAAAATATAAAATTCCTGAAATATTTAATTAAAATATATTTAAAGCTTACTAAAGTTATAATAAGTATTCTATATTTTATTAGAATTAGAATATAGCTTCTTTAAATAAGAATAAAGCTCTAAGAGCTAATAGTACTAATTCGGATTATCTTTATTTA